ACACCTGCAGCGGGGAGTGCAGCAGCTCCTCGTGCTGCTGCACCCACTGCAGCAGCTGCTGCAGCAGCTGCGCCGAAGGCCCCTCAGCAAAGCAAGTCAGCAGCCGCTGCAGCAGCAGCAACAGCAGCAGAAGCAGCAGCAGCAGCAACAGCAACAGCAACAACAGCACATGCAACCCATCCCTGTAGCTGCTGAAATAAAAACTGCAACAGGTAAAGTCGAAGCAGCAGCAGCAGCAGCAGCAGCAGCAGCAGCAGCACCGCAACCCACAGAAGCAGCAGCAGCAACATCGCAAGCAGCAGCAGCAGCAGCAGCAGCAGCAGCAGCAGCAGCAGCAAGTACCTCTATGATCCTCAGCATGTCAGCAAGGAGGCCCAGGGGAGGCAGCAGCACAGCGAGTCTCCCGAAGGTAGTAGCAGCAGCAGCAGGCCAGCGTTGTTGCTGCTGCTGCTGCTGCTGCTGCTGCTGCAGCTGCAGCAGCGGCAACACAGGCTGCAGCCGAGCTTGCTGCTGCAGCAGCGGGCTGCTCAGCAGCAAATCCAGCGCCGTTTGCTGCTGCCAGCAACGCTGCGACTGCAGCCCCCAAGCAAAGTGTGGATCCTGCAGCAGCAGCAGCAGCAGCAGCAGCAACAGCAGCAGCAGCAGCAACAGCAGCAGCAACAGAAGCAGCATAAGGATGTATGCACAGCGAGCAGCTGCTGCAACTGCAGCACAAGAGTAAACTATCAGTGGCCCGGCAGCAGCAAGACAACAGCAGCAGCAGCAACACAAGCAGCAGCAGCAGCAGCAGCAACACGAGCAGCAGCAGCAGCAACACAAGCAGCAGCAGTAGCAACACAAGCAGCAGCAGAAGCAACGCAAGCAGCAGCAGCAGCAACACAAGTAGCTGTAGCACCAACACTAGAAGCAGCAGCAGCACCACAAGCAGCAGCAGCAGCAGCAGCAACACAAGCAGCAGCAGCAGCAGCAGCAGCAGCAGCAATGCGGCGTACAAGACAGAGAAGCGAGGCCAGCTGACAGGTAGCCCTAGCTAAGCTGTTCTGCTGCTGCTGCTTCATTTGCTGCTGCCGAGCTGCCTGTACACCCGAAAGGTGTACAAGGAAGAGCTGCGCTACTGCAGCAACAACAGGAGCTGCTGCTGCCTCGCTGCTGCTGCTGCTGCTGCTGCTGCTGCTGCTGCAGGGTTTAGGCT